AACTCTGGCAGTGTGGTACACTTAAGCCATATTTTTAAATCATGGAAACACATAAGTTCATCTTTTCGAGTGTATTTCAAGCATGGCATTTGCATTCTGCCCCTAAACTATGTTGGTTTGATTCCTTGCAAAGGGATACGTAGGCAACCATCGGGTTTAACCAAGTTTTATCAGCATTTTGTTTTTTCGCCCAAGTCTTACAGTCTCGTCAAAAAGGGTTATCTTCGGCCTTTGATATTTACTCACGTAATGAGATAACGCACCGAGCTCTGTCAAAAAGGGACAACTGTAGACACCCCATTTTTTACCAGCCTTGAGATGTGGGCACTCCCTTTAAGTTCCCGATGATAAAAACAAAAGGTGTTAATCTTTGCATGTTCCACGGCAGAAGTTCTAAGGATCGAGCTTTAAACCCTCTAAACGACCTGTATTGGACAAAATATTTTTTGACCAAAAAAAAAACCTTTTTTTAAAAATGAGTTTTAGTGTTGCAATCCAGACATTATCGAAATATTTTGACGCTCATATTTTCAAAATCAAGGCATTTATTCTTTCAAACAAACAGAGCGAAGAATATATTGGAAGTGAACACGAAAGATGATATCTTTATAAATGTATGTTTCTCCCTTCAATTCAAGCTAACCTACTTTTGTTGATTAGACGATGTGCCCACTGGCTAGTTGGACACCAAATGATTGCCAACCAGAAAGCACTTGGCCGATCACCGAGAAGCATGGTCGGCTTAATGGTCCGGGTACAGAGCATTTTTGGGGATTTCAACTTTTTTTGCTTACCTACCATAAATATCTTAGATACTTATGGCTTAAGCTCTATATATAGAGCTCGCCAACTCTTTTCAAAAGGTTGGAAAAAAAATCTTGCCCAAGGATAGACAAGCTTGAGAGCTCCTCTCTTCTTCATCTCCCATCTACCACCTTCAACCTTAACATTCATTCCTTCATTAAAGCTTGATCCTAAGCTTTGGATAAAGGAATTTAGATATTAAAGAACACCCCTAAAAGCTCTTGAGGGACCTTAGAGGGAGTTTGTGAACAAAAAGGCTCATCATCTTCAAGAAATGAATCTTTGGTCCCTTGGATCATCTTCTCTCTACTTCTCTTTTAATTTAAGCTTTGCTTTCATCATATGATTGTGGTAAGTCCTCATGGAAATGGAGGGAGTAGCTTTAGCCACCCATCTATTGAGTTGATAACCATTTCTTTATTTCCTTAGCTTTAGATTCATAGTTATTATGTATTTTGGATCCTTGTGGATGTGCCTGGAAGTAGTTTTAGCCACCCATTCACAAGTTCAATAAGTAGAATAACTCTTCTCCTTATTACACTACTTATCTTCACCTATCCCCCTTTCTCAAATGTATTGATCTATACATTTCAACTCTTTACTCAATGACAATGAGTGTTAAGGGTTGTTTCATGAAGATGCTTGAGTGATCCATGAGATTTGGTGTTGATAAGTGTTGTTCTCTCTTTTCATTGAGTATTTTGGAAGTAAACCAAGAGATTTTGGGTCAAAGGAAATTGAAACGTCCCTTCTCAATCATTGTTGAACATAGAAAGGGTTGTTATCATCCTTGTTCTATGACTTGATGAGGAGTTTTCAATGAATTTGGTGAATTCCTTATTTTAGTAAGCAAAGCTTCCGCCAATAAATGATTTGCACTAATCTACACTCTCCACTTAATAGTATGAATTTGGATATTAACTTGCCCTTATTCATAAAAAGAATATGTAAGCTCCTATCTATTTCTTGGGCTTCAATCTGTTCTTGATTTTGATCCATTTAATTTGTTCCTTTGGGTAAAATACCTGTTGTATATATTTGTTTATGTTGTTGTTGAGGGCTTTGGCCCATCCATCTCCCCTCCAAGTGATCCCTACCAACAGAGTGGGTAGAAAGTGTGAGAACCCCCAGAATGCCTCTCTTTGGCCTTTGTCCTAAGATCCTACACTGTCCTAATCCCCAACTGGAAAGGGAATTTGACCTGCTCATTTCTACTTTTGCCAACTAACCTGGTGTCTATCTGAACATTTCCCCCAAGAACAGAATAGGTAGTTTCTGGGGAATGCTTCCTTGAGTAGTTCTGAAGCCCCTAGATAGCTTCTTTCCTTTATTTAGTATGGTTTGTTAGATTCAATAGTAGCTAGGCTGGATCGATTCATTGTTGTAATAATCTTTCTCTCTCTTCTCTTTTCTTATTCAAATTATTGTAATAATCTTCCATCCCCACGTCTTTTCTAACCTTTTTATTTATTCACTTTTAGTATTGCATTATGTTTTCTTTATCATGTCTGTATATTGCATTCACTTTTTTATGCATTGGGACCTGGATCATCCGCACTAATATGATGTGTTATCTTTAAAGATGAATACGTATATAAATCCATGTCTCGTGGTGATATTCATTTCAAAGATGAATATGTACATAAATCCATGTGTCGTGGTAATATTCATGCTACATCTTAGCATCCGGACTTCTAGGTATATGTTCTGTGTGTAATGCATTAGAAACTTGCATATAGGATCAAGGATATATGTACATGTCTGTATAGATCGTGACTCGCCTTGGAGCACTAGGTGGGCATTTTGAGCTTTGGCCTATTGCACGTGCGTGTTGCTTACCATATCTGTTGCTATAACATGAGGCTAGTGAGATATCAATTTGAATATGAGTGGATGGAGGTTGTGTTATTTATTTTGGAGTATAGATAATTCTTATGCTGTGGATTTTATCAAAGAAAACCCTTTTTTAAAAATGCATGAAGTCAAAGCATACCCAAAATTTACGACACAATCTATATTTGAATGCCTCAGATAGTAATTGTAGACACCCCATTTTTGACCACCCTTAAGACTTGGGCGCTTGATTCCAAACACTCGATGATGATTACATTGTGTAAGTGGTTTTAATTCTCAATAAAAGAATCCGAGTTTGAACTCTAAACAATTCCAACCTGCCATACCCAATGTATTTTTTACCCCCAAAAAGTCAATTTCGCACCCGGTACCAACCTGTATTGAACCTAAAAGTGAGGAACAATGGGCATACATTGACCTTCGGTCGTACATCAGTCACCTATGGCCGGAGACACCAAGGTCCTAAGGAGCATCACGCAATCATTACATATTATTGTTGTAATAAATTAGACAACCCCTTTTAGTTATTATTCATTCGGATTTGTAATAATTATTTATTCGGACACTCGGACATTCAGACCCTCCTTATGAGGACAAATATGTAATAAGTTGTATGTCTTCCAACCCCCATTCTTTCTCCCTTTTATTTATCTGCTTATGATGGTTAGCATAGGGACATCATATTTTCAAATTAGCATTTCCATGACTTGCCTCCATTCGTTTTGCATACATAAAAGTTCAGGGGTCGAGGTGATCGGGAGTCGAGGTGATCGGTCTGGTTCTCGGGGCGGTCGGTCAGGCCAATCTAAAGGACGTGGTTCCTATTCCCGGGCTCATCAGTCTAGTGCAGTTGATCCACTTGATTCTAATTCTGCTTCTGTTGGCCAAGCTTCTGATACTGAGCAGGAGGATGCTTTGCGCCAATTGTTGGATCGCCGGTCTTCTACTGCTCTCAATACAGCTTCCTCGTCCTTTGCCCGCTCAGGTAACTTAGCCTCTTCTCCTTGTGCTTGCCTGTGTCATAAGTCTTTACCTTGGATCATTGATTCTGGTGCCTCAGATCATATGTCTGGCTCCTCTGATCTTTTCTCTGTCTATAAGCCCTCTTCAGGTTAGGACAAAGTTAGGATTGCCGATGGTACTGTTTCTTCCATTTCTGGAAAAGGTTTAGTCCACGTCACTCCTACCATACATCTGTCTTATGTTCTCCATATTCCCAATTTTTCTGTTAATCTGTTATCCTTGAGTCGTCTCATCCAGGATTTGAATTGTAGTGTGACGTTTTTTCCTGATCATTATCTTTTTCAGGACCTTGTCACGGGGAGGATGATTGGCAGTGGTAGTGCAGAAAATGGTCTCTACTTCCTAGATCAACCGGACAAACTTGCTTATTCTTCCACCACGTCTTCTACTACCCCCACTGATTTATGGCTGTGGCATCGGCGTCTTGGGCATCCTTCATTTAATTTACTTAAGCATTTATTTCCTTCTAGTTTCGCAAATCATCATGTGTCTGACTTTCTTTGTGAGTCTTGTCAACTTGGAAAACAGCACAGAGCTTCTTTTGCTCCCAGTTTGAATAAAAGTTTAGCTCATTTTTCCTTAATATATTCTGATGCTTGGGGTCCCTCTCGTGTTATGTCTGTGAAAGGTCATCGATGGTTTGTTACATTTATTGATATTTTTCTCGTGCTACTTGGGTGTATCTCATGAAAGATAAGAGTGAGGTTTTCTCTGTGTTTCGGACTTTTCATAAGATGATTTGTACTCAGTTTGGGCCCACTATCAAACTATTTCGTTCTAATAATGGTGGGGAATACATAGATTCTAGGTTAGGACAATATTTCTCTACTCATGGCATTATCCATCAGACCTCTTGCACCAATACCCCTCAACAAAATGGGGTGGCAGAACGTAAGAATCGGCATCTTCTTGACATGGCTCGGTGCATGTGTTTTTCTATGAATGTGCCTCGGCCCTATTGGGGCGACGCTGTTCTCACCGCTGCCCATCTTATTAATCGTCTCCCTACCCAGGTCTTGCAAAAACAGGCTCCTCTTCACGTCCTCCTCGGTTCTCAGTCCTTGTTTTCTATTCCTCAAAAAATATTTGGTTGTGTCTGTTTTGTTCATAATCACTCTCCCTCTCGTGGTAAGTTGGACCCTCGCTCCCTCAAGTGTGTTTTCCTTGGTTACTCTCTTACTCAAAAGGGGTATAAATGTTACCACCCTTCTTCTCGTAAGTGGTTTGTGTCCATGGATGTTACTTTCTTTGAGTCCCAGTCCTATTTCTTGTCCTCTCCGGTGTCACCGTCCTCATTTCCGGGGGAGCCTTGGTGTGAAATGAGTCCTGTGCTTCCTATGGTGGGCCCAATTACTCTTGCACCACCCTCTTCTACTGTGCTTCCTATGATGGAACCAGTTGTTCTTGCACCACCCTCTTCTACTGGGACTATAGAACCCACTATCACCAAGGATAAGGACGTGCATGTTTATGTCCGGGACATAGACAGACAACAACTTAACTGGATACAAGAGACCACTTCTACTACTCCACTGCCATCTCCTGCTTCTGATGAGAGTCTAGGTAACTTTGAATCTCTTGAATCCGTTGATCTTGATGTTCCTATTGCCAAAAGGAAGGGTGTGAGATCTTGTACTCAACATCCTATCTCACAGTTTGTGTCATACTCTCATTTGTCATCCTCATATAGAGCGTTTGTGTCCAATATTTCCTCTGTTAGCATTCCTAATCATTTTCAGGATGCTCTTGCTACCTCTGAGTGGAAACTAGCCATGATTGAGGAAATTAAAGCACTTAGGAAGAATGGCACTTGGGAATTGATTGAGTTACCTACGGGCAAACGACCTGTGGGACATAAATGGGTATATATTGTGAAATACAAAGCAGATGGGTCTATTGAGCGTTACAAGGCAAAACTTGTGGCAAAAGGATTTACTCAGACATATGGCATTGATTATCAGGAGACCTTGGTACCCGTGGCTAAGATGAATTCAGTCAGAGTACTTCTCTCTCTAGCAGCTAATCATGATTGACCGCTTTATCAGTTTGATGTCAAAAATGCCTTTCTCCATGGTGACCTCGAAGAAGAGGTATATATGGACATTCCTCCTGGTTTTGAGGATCATCAGACAGAAGGAAAAGTATGCAAGCTTCGGAAGTCATTATATGGTCTTAAACAGTCTCCAAGGGCATGGTTTGAGAGATTCACTCAGGCTATGTTTAAATATGGCTTCAAACAAAGTCAGGCAGATCACACATTGTTTGTGAAACATTCCTCACATGGTAAGACTACAGCACTTATTGTTTATGTAGATGACATAGTTCTTACAGGCAATGATAGTGAGGAAATACCTCTGTTGAAGAAATATTTAGCTAATGAGTTTGAAATCAAAGACTTGGGAAGCTTGAAGTATTTTCTGGGAATTGAAGTTGCTCGCTCTAAGGATGGGATATTTATCTCACAGAGAAAATATGTGCTTGACCTGTTAAAGGAAACTGGGATGCTTGGCTGCAAGGCATGTGCCACTCTACTGGAACCCAATCAGAAATTGGGGGATGATGAAGGAGGAGAAGTTGTTGATAGGGGGAGCTATCAGCGATTAGTAGGTAAGCTCATTTACCTATCTCACTCCCGTCCTGATATTGCTATTGCTGTCAGTGTGGTTAGTCAGTTTATGCATGCTCCTCATCAGATTCACCTTGAGGCTGTCATGAGAATCTTGAGGTACTTGAAGTCTGCTCCTGGCAAGGGTCTTTATTTTTCAAAGTATGATCATCTTCGTGTGGAAGCCTATACAGATGATGACTGGGCTGGATCAGTAACTAATAGGAGATCAACTTCAGGGTATTGCACATTTGTTGGAGGCAACCTAGTTACTTGGAGGAGTAAGAAACAGAATGTGGTTGCCAGGTCAAGTGCAAAAGCTGAGTTTAGAGCTATGGCACAAGGTGTGTGTCAACTTTTATGGATCAAGTTATTGTTGAGTGATCTAGGTGTTGATCAGATGGACTCCATGCGGTTATACTGTGATAATAAGGCCACCATCAACATTGCCCACAATCCAGTTCAACATGACAGAACAAAACATGTTGAGATTGATCGCCACTTCATTAAGGAGAAACTCACTAGTGGTACCATTTGTACTCCCTTTGTCCAGTCTGGTGAACAACTTGCTGACATTCTCACCAAGGGGATTGGGAATAAACCATTTCATGACATATTAGGCAAGCTGGGCATGAGAGATATCTTCGCACCAGCTTGAGGGGGAGTGTTAGCATGTTATTCTCACTGTTAGCATATTATACTCACCGAAAGTGTTCTAATATTATATTAGCCGAAAGTTGGTTTGTATTATTCTATGCCCTCAGGGCTCATCTTGTAACCCTAAATCTTCATTTATAAATAAGGGATGATATTCTATCATACCCTAAGCTGGTTACTCAAGCTTCACAAACTACATTACATGTAGAAAGGATGTAAGAGAATTATACCATTCTCACTATGTCTCACACGGAGTACATACAATACCTGTCTTGTTTGTCTGGTCATGCCAGCTTCAAATGAACCGTACATAGAATATCGTGCCTGCAAAAGAGAGAAACTCAACAGGTACAATATTGTTAGAAACATGCATAGCAATGCAAGTAAAAAGTGCGTAATAACGCAAGTCGAGGGATGCATGACAATGCAACCCAAGTGTGACGCATAACAATGCGTACAAAACGAGCATAACAATGCGAGTGAAATGTGCACGCCAAATGATGCAACGAGTGTGACAACAAAACTAGTGAGTGTATAACAAAGCCACAAGTGGTGTGCATAAGAATGCAGGTGAAACATGAGTGACAACGCGTGCGAAAAGTGCAAGATAATGCGAAAGAAATGCGCAACTTCAAATGTATGTTTGAAAGGAAATGCCGAAAGAGGAAACATAAACCTTAATAAGCGTAGTTCAGTCATAACCTTCGATTTACCTCTTGGAAGGGTCATAACCATACTTAAAAAGGATACACCTCGCTCTTTGGACAAGTGATGATGAGCCATGCATCGATGACTTGAATCGAAGTTCCGCGGGGACATTTTCAGGACAAAAAGTGCACTTTTCTTGCACTTTCTCGGGGACCGGGGACTCCAATCACCATCAAAACACACAGGGAGAACAATGGAGCTCTGAAGATCATCCAGGAATCTGGCCAACCAGTTATAAAGTTGGCCGATCAATTGTTGCTCACCAGAGTGGTTGGCCGACCAGTTTTCAAAATTTTGGGGTAGTTTGGTCTTTTAAGCTTCGGTTCTTTAAGTGCCCAACTCTAAATCAGTTTGTATCACACCTCCAAGGTCGAAATACATTCTTCTTTCTCCCTAGACCCTTTTCTCTCTCAGATCTGCACTTTATATGCATTTTCCACGCGAAGTTGTTTCACGAAAACTTTCGATTCTCTTCGATTTGAACCGATTAGAATTTGTTTTTGGAGCCTCTTTCTCCATTTTCACCACTCGAGGTATGTTTGTCTCAAAGTTTGGCACTTTTTCTCAGGCGTTGACTTTTGTTGACTTTTTCTCTTCCCGAGAGTGAACTTTTGTTGACTTTTTGCGATTTTGGCTTACTTCGCTCGTTTTTACATCTTTTGCAGATTTCTTCAGATGGTCAACGATATTCCGTATGGCGGAGGCTTTCCATATGCAGAGGACGAGCCCGACATCATACCGTTGGCTCCGAGGATACGGCCATTCGACCCAAAGGAGTACAACCCGCAGGAGCACGTTCTACCTCGTAGCACCTTCTACCACTTCATGGACTTCGCGCGGCGGGCTCCTGAAGATCTACTATTGCGGGAGCCGGAGTCCCATCTATCTCATCACGCGCATGAGGTACATACTACATTTTCACATTTTCTGTGATGTATTTGTCTGTTCATCATGAACATAATCTCATACACAGCACTTGACTCATTCTAAACACGCAGTTCGTACATAGCATTCTGTCGACTTGGCGCACAACATATTTGGGCACACAGCACATTCGGGCACACAGCTCGTTTGAGCACACAGCTCATTTGGGCACACAGCTCGTAACACTGCTCAATCTGAACACACAGTCCATAACACAGCATTCTGTTTAGTTGGCACACAGCTCATAACACTGCTCAATCTGAACACACAGTCCACAACACAGCATTCTATTTTGTTGGCACACAGCTCATAACACTGCTCAATCTGAACACGCAGTCCATAACATAACATTCTGTTTTGTTGGCACACAGCTCATAACACTGCTCAATCTAAACACGCAGTCCATAACTCAACATTCTGTTTGATCGGCACACAGCTCATAACACTACTCAATCTGCATTTTGAACACACAGCTCAAACTTTTGAATTTCTGAACACACAGCTCATACTTTTCATTGTGAAAACGCAACCCACATTTTTGAAATTTGAACACGCAGCTCACATCTTTTTTAGGTTTTTGAACACGCAGCTCAAACCTTTAGTGGTGAACACGCAGCTCACATTTTTCAAGTTTTGAACACGCAGCTCAAACTTTTGTGGTGAACACGCAACTCACATCTTTTGAAATTTTTGAATACGTAGCTCAATTTTTTGGTGAACACGCAGCACACATCTTTTGAAATTTTGAATACGCAGCTCAAATTTTTTGGTGAACACGCAGCCCACATCTTTTGCAATTTTGAACACGCAGCTCAAATTTTTTGGTGAACACGTAGCCCACATCTTTTGAAATTTTGAACACGCAGCTCAAATTTTTTGGTGAACACACAGCCCACATCTTTGGAAGTTTTGAACATGCAGCTCAAATTTTTTGGTGAACACACAGCTCACGTCTTTTTTGAAATTTTGAACACGCAGCTCACATCTTTTGAAATTTTTGAACATGCAGCTCAAATTTTTTGGTGAACACGCAGCTCACATATTTTGAAATTTTCAACACGCAGCTTAAATTTTTTCGTGAACACGCAGCTCACTTCTTTTTTGAAATTTTGAACACGCAGTTCAAATTTTTGGTGAACACGCAGCTCACACATTTTCATTTGCACGCAGCCCATACATTTGATTTTGAACACGCAGCTCATACATTTGAATCTGAACACGCAGCTCATACATTTTCATTTGCATGCAGCGCATACATTTGATTCTGAACACGTAGCTCATACCTTGGAATTTCTGAAACTGAATACATCTGTTCATTCTGAATGCAGATATCTTCCCGTTTCACACGGGGTTATGGGTCCATTCTTGCGAGGAAGTGGTATATGGAGCTCCCAGACACTGTCCGACATATTGTGGACAAGGCAGGGTTCGGCCCATTCTGTGCGGGAATGTAACGTCATCCAGCGAGCAGGGCTCTCCTGGGCGCACTTGTAGAGAGATGGCGGGACACTACCAACTCCTTACATTTTTCGGCCACTATGGACATGACAATGACTCCATTTGATTTCTCCATGCTTTGCTCAGTAAATTCCTAGTAAATTCTAAGTAAATTCATAGTTAAATTAATCAATAAATTCCTAGTAAATTCTTATTAAATTCCTCAGTAAATTCTCACTAATTACTCAGTAAATTCCTGAGTAAATTCCCAATAAATTCTCAGTAAATTACTCAGTAACTTCTCATTAAACTACTAAGTAAATTCCCAGTAAATTCCAAGAAAATTTTAAGTAAATTGCTGAGTAATTTCCCACTAAATTCTCAGTAAATTACCAGCAAATTTTCATTAAATTACTCTGTAAATACTTAGCAAATTCCCGATAAATTCACAGTAAATTACTCAGTAAATTCCCAATAAATTCCCAGTAATTTCACATTAAATTACTCAGTAAATTCCCCTTAAATTCTCAGTAAATTCCTAGTAAATTCTCAGTAAATTACTGAGTAAATTCCCAGAAAATTCTCAATAAATTGCGCAGCAAATTCCCAATAAATTCTTAGTAAATTCCAGTAAATTTCGAGTAAATTCTCAGTAAATTCTCATTAAATTACTTAGTAAATTCCCTGTAAATTCTCAATAAA